GCATAATGTAATGATAAAAATTAGGAAAAACGCTGAGGAAATATAATGTTTGGTTTGCTAGCGAGTGAGAACTGATTTGAGAATAATTGCACATGCGCGTGAATTGAATGAACTATGACCCGTACAATCTCGATTTGCATATTGTCAATCAAAGGTCCTGTTATTTGGTTACTCATGCAAATTAGGCAATTAGACATAAACATTGCCACGTGTGAGTGTTTTTTATTTTTAACCAGAAAATAAACAGCAATTTTAACGGTGTTCTAATAAGAATTCATTGGTCAAATTTTCACAGAATGTTCTTTAGATAAAAATCTATATAAAAAACGAAAAAAACTATTTTTGATTGAAATTCACAAATAAACTGCATCTCTACCTTAATGTAAGTAATTAACAATCGCATTAATGAATAAACATAATTATATGACATGCCTATAATAAATACAGTAATGTAATGTAATGTAGTAACACAACACAAGGAACACCAACTATCCAAACTAAAAACACCAGTAAAGCAATTGTTATTCGAATCAGTACAATCACGTTGTGATCACAAGAGATGACGCGGTCCAAGTCCAAGCAAAAAGTGGCAACATGTCATGCCTTCGTGTCACATTTAATCAAAATCGATGCCATATTCGATATTACACATGCCTATTATTTATTGTAAAGTGAAAACGTTGATGTACATTAGACTGTACATCCGTTTTGAATTTACAAAACGTGCTAGTAATTCAAACAACATTCTTAATTTACAAATGTATATATTAAACAGAAATACTAAATATTGCTCAATATTTGTAATTTTTTTGTTTTTGAATGTATTCGATTTGAGGACACAGAAAGGAGAAAGAATAGTGTAAGAAAATGTAATTGAAACAAAAATGCCTTGCCTTCGTGCCACATTTCCGGAAAAAGAGGGGTACAATTGAAAAATAAAGCAAAATGGCCGCCAGTTAAATTTCATCAACCATACCCAAAGAAATAGGCAAAGAATATCCGTAAAATGTTAAGGAGATTTGGAAATCAATTCAACATGGTTTCCAATCGGCCATTTTGAATCAACTCATAAAACAATCAGTAACTCATTATGTATGATGTCGAGTTTGAATGTAATCGGTCCAGACATCCATAGGAAACGCTTAATTGCATGATTAAATGTTGTTCTTGACGCAAAAATGGTAACCAGTCAACAGAATTAAACACAAATCGACGTACACATGTCTTCTATTGTGACCGGTCGCTGTACTAATCATTTATAATTAGCATTATTAAATGAAAGCTAGATATCCCATGATGATTGTATATTCAGAGAAACTCTAAAAGAATTTCATAGTAGTGAATAAATACATCAATAAATCAATACATCATACATCAATAAAGAAGAAATCAATAAAAATGTCCAAGGCGGTTTGATGACAGACGCTTCTGACAGTGAACCCGGACAGAGCGAGGTGAACGCCGATTTACCCTCTATCAGATCACGAACACCGTTTTCAGGACTTTTGTTGATTTCTTCAGTTAAGACTTCTCCAGTTACATCGCTAGTGATTCGCATTTGGAAAGGTTTTTCAAGTTTTCGGTACTCCCTTGGAACGCCGAAGTTACCGAGGCTACCTCGAGGTAATTCAAACCAAGGTGCCGACTCCCCTTCGAATATGTGGCGACGTTCAACTGTTCTTATCTTATGGAGATGATTAAAGATTCTCATCTGGAATGCAGCATTTGCGTTTTCATTGGCATACACGAAACTGTAAATAAACCCAACGTTTCGTAAAACCGGGCATTCGATTTCCTTCCATGTGATTTCCGCCATGCCTATTTTCCCACCACTGATGGCGGTAAAACCCTTTTCACTCAGGTCAAGACTGCCGTCTGTACAGGTCATGCACTGGTCCACGACGATCACTTCCAATGTATCTCCTGTAGGCCCAGTAATCTCAATACACATGCCACAACTCTGTTCGAATATAACATAGATAACAGAAAGGAATTAGTATAAGATCGAATGTAATAGACAGTTGTATGATTGACTGTAAATTCGATTGTCATCTGTTACTCCCCGGATAAACATACAAGTTTGCTGGTCCATCTTTTAACGCATATATAAAAGACAACCAACGTTATACTAAATAACGGCTCGGTCGTTTTATAACTTCGCGACGTTTTATAACTTGAAGATAGCTCTCTGTATAAACTATCATGTAATTGTATTGATTAAATTGTTTTTAATTATTGTGCTATCAGAACGAAGAATGTCTAGCTTCTTTGACCAACACCTACGAAGAATATTGAATCGTGTGAACAACAAACGACACACACATATTCCATCCCATCAATATTGTACTTGTCATTCTTTGCCAGTCAATGAGTTACCCAGTGACTTGGATATATAATAAAACAGACGCTACAAAACTTGGGACTGTCTCGTATTTCGTCTTAGGCAATATCAATGATGGACGAATATGCACATTGTTTATGCAACATCGACGATAATGTACAAACACTCGTGTTAAACAATTCAAGTGAAATGTTTGTCGTCGAAACGAGTGAGGTTTAATCAAAACCAAAGGTTGGACTCACCCAAGTGGATTAATTATATAAAGTAACAATGAACATCAAAATAAAAAGACAAAGCATAGTTTTGCAACTCAATGTCCATTCTAAGTGGCCTCATATCTGTCAGTGTCACCATAGTTACCATCACGAAATAATGGTGCTATATTATTTTCTTTATTGCGTAGATATACCTGAGATATTGAGTGCACTTCAAGTTGCTGCGATCACCTAGAAATATATATCCACCCGACAAACTAGTTTTTTTTTTTTTTTTTCGTTCAAATATTTTTTCTGTTGCTACAACTCTAAACACAGATTGGAAAACAAAGATACCTATTGCCTAATTCGCTTCATATTTTCTGTTTCTATATATTTATTTTCCCTACCACATTTCTAATGTGATTCAAGTACCGATATACACAATTGACTAAGCATACATTTGTGTAGAATTCCTATGTGTTTGTATGCCATGTTCATCTTTACCTTAAAGACCACTTTTAAAACTTAATGGGGCCAAGGTTATTAAAACTTATCTAAAACATCGCTATGTTCTACTAAATGTCACACAATGTCTATTAACATTGCAATGTCTGACATCAATATAACGTGAACATCTTTTCAGCTTTATCTTAAACGCCGGTGATCGCAATAAAGCGCACGTTCGATTTCATGTAAACAAACAATGTATTTAAAGTGAACTTCAATGCGGCCTTAATTTATGTGTATATTCTAAACTGTATTCGAAATAATATTGCAGTGGTTTAATTTTGTTTTAATTATAACTGTAGCTTGGATAAGCATTTGAAGTACTTACAATTAAACACCATGGATGCCATTCATGGAGGGGAGTAAATAACGAACGATCATATTTAACACCCGGGTACTTATTAAAGTTATTAAGTTTAGTATCTGATCACATTTGTGTACGCCATTGTACATAGCCGTTCATCTTGCCAAGCATTGTGTACCACTAGTATAAACTCAACTTTTATATGCACAATATGCTTTTTAGAACTTGGGTTATAACATTATGCGTTTGAATCAGTACTGTACTTCCCTGATCATAAGCCTCTCCCCGATTATGAAGCCGATCCCTCAATTTTTAGGCATTTATCGAGTTGAGGCTAGGGCATTCGCTATTATAAGCCCAGGGTGTTTTTACTGGGCGTCGACGATATTCTTTAAAATATGCGTGTAAAAAGTGTGTTTCATATCATAATAATCATGATTGGTACGGTAGTTTGGTTTGTGCTTCTATGAGAAAACACTAATTTCAGAGTGCATGGCGAACTAGACTGGTGCAGTAGAGGCGATTAATTTGTTTTTGTAGTTTAAATAAAACTTTAAAAATCGCGAAATAGATGTGTTAGCGCGAAATCACCCCGACTGGTTTATTCTGCAGGAAATTCATTGCACGTATTATAATGAGGTGGGCGCGGAAATACGTGCATAATGAGGTCAACATGGTAAAGGTCACACTGCAGACCCAACATGGCGGCACGTTGAAATTCGAGTTTGTCGTAGTCGTCGTTTCTAATTCATCACAATGTGTAAACAAATAACTCGTACTGGTTGTAGAATAAAAAAAAAAATTGGCTGCTACAATCAGCCAACGTATTCTCGATCAGAGATCAGTTGAAGAGACGTTGTGATTGGCCTAGATGATTGTCAATTAAAACACTCATTCACATAATTACCCGTTGAAAAATCGACGGGTTCCTGCAGTGTCGATAGAGGGCCATGCAGAATAAACCAGTCGGGGTGGGGTGATTTCGCAGTTACAGGTGA